CATATAAACTGACATTTTCCCAGCCACCATCAGTTCTGAGGAAGGGTCACCGGACCCGAAATTTTAACTCTGTCTTTTCCTTTACAGATGCTGCCTGACCTGCTGAGCTTTTCCAGCAACTTTGGATTGTTTGGATGACTTGGTGGTGGGTTAACAATAAAGAAACAGTAAAGCTTTGGCGAATTAGGATGTCTTACACTTTCAGTTCTGCAGGGACTGGTTTTGAGAAGTACATACCTGAGTATAGATGCTGACTGGACACATGGAACAGCCATGGGGACCAGATTTTTTCCCCAATATGCCAACATTTTCATGCACCCAGTTCAAACAAGACTTCTTTGCCGCACAGAACCTCCAACCAACACTATACACCAGGTACATTGCAGACATTTTCTTCCTTTGGACTCATGGCGAGGAATTACTGAAACAGCTACGTAGCAATATCAACAAGTTTCATCCCACCATCAGATTTATCATGAACTACTCTTTAGAATCAATTTTATTCTTGGACATATGCATGTCCATCAAGAATGGACACCTCTCTACCTCACTCTACCGCAAGCCCACGGATAACCTCACGATGCTGCATTTCTCTAACTTCCACCCTAAACATATTAAAACAGCCATCCCCTACGGACAAGCCCTACGCATACACGGGATCTGTTCGCTGGAGGAGGAATGAGACAGGCACCTGAGGGGGTTGAAGGAGGCCCGCACAGGATATGATGCTCAACTCATCAATCACCAGTTCCGATGTGCCACAGTGAAAAACCATAATGACCTCCTCAGAAGACAGACACAAGATACACGCAGTAGGGTGCCCTTCATCATTCAGTACTTCCCGGGAGCAGAGAAACTGCATCACGTTCTTCACAGCCTTCAACACATTATCAATGACGATGAGCACCTCGCCAAGATCTGCCCCACACCTCCACTTCTCGCCATCAAACAACCGCCAAATCTTCAACAGACCATTGTTTGCAGCAAACTACCCAGCCTTCAGGACAACATCAACCACAACCCCACATAACCCTGTCATGGGAACATCTGCAAGACATGTCAGATCATC